TCGCAGCGCGGAGCTGCTGATAGCGCAAAAGCCGCTGCCCCGAGCGGGCACCGTCGCCAGCCCCTTTGGCAGAGAAGTGGAGGGGCGCGGCCTGCGGGTTTGGGAAAGTTGTGTCCCCGCCGGTCACGGAGCGCCGGCCCGCTGCCCGGGCGGGAGGCGGGCACCGCCGCCCACCTGCACCCTGCCCCAGCCGGGATCTCTTCTCCAGCGCCTGCCCGGCGGTCGCCTCTCGTATGCGGGAGAGCTGCCCTGGTTCCCGCTCCGCCAGCACTTTCCCTCCGCCTGCGGTTCTCTTGGTGGTGGGAGCAGCAGGACTCGGCTGTTGGCTGGGGACGGAGGGAGCTCGGTCAGAGCTGTCGCTCCCGCCGGCGGAGGCCTGTGGCGACCGGCACTGTCGTCTGTCCTCTGCACGGGCAGAGGAGGACCGGTGTGCTCCGAGCACGGGCCGCTGGCTCCGCTGCTGCTGTCAGGGCAATTGCCGGATGCACAGCAGGTCTGACACGTTCGCATTGGCGGTGCCGATGTCAAATCCTCTCGTAATGCTGTCAGCGTTGGAAATAGGTCTTTGTGAGAAGCGTGCATCTTATTTTCTCCGTTCCTTTGGAGCCTCAAAAGGGCAAATGTTAAGTGAAAGGGCAAACTAAATGCTAATGGACTTGAGGAAGCATCGTAGTATGGCTCTGTAGTCCTGTCTGGTGGTGTGAGGAGCTGTAACTGCGTGCTGAAGGCATGGCGCAATGTTGTCACGTGAGGGCAAATTAAGGAAGCCACGCGCATTTCAATTCCGTAGCTGCTTCCAAATGCACAGGCACCTCCACTTCAGCTTTGGTGCGTGCGTGGGACATAGCAAGATTATGCTGGTGTCAGTAAGTTAAAAGACCAGCTAGCATACTTGAAACTTGCTGCCCTTGCTGCAGGCTGGGTGGCGTGGTTTGAAGCTTTCCCAGTGCTGAGTCCCCTTTGCACCCCCTTATTTTAATGTTACCAAGACTTGCTGTTAAATGAAGCTGGTCATAGGGTGCGTAAGATTTTTACTGGCTGTTAGGAGCACATGTGAATTGCTTTCTTCTTCCTTGGTCAGTTCTTTTTTCTTCCCCTGACGTACCTCCAGATGATCTTTGCGAGGGCAAAAGCCTTCTCCTGAGGTGCTTTGCCCCGCGGATGTAGCTGCGCTGTGAGAATGTGCAGGCAGCCTCGTCTCCTCCCAAACCTTTTGCTTTTTCGGGGACTCGGCAGCCCCACACAGGCACTGCCGCAGGTGCTTTGTTGGAAGGGAGACGAGTGCCATTTGAGAGGGGGGGAGAGCGCGCCGCGGCCCGGCGCCTGCCCTTCTTTCCCTCTCACAGGGCTCCAGTGGTGGGGTACAGCGCGGTGACAGCTCGTACTGCTGGTGCTCTGCTGGGGTGTTCTTCCTGGCCCTCTTCCGTGAGAAGTCCCGGGTTGGCACACCGGTGATGGATGGAGAGGGACCCATGGCCAGGGGCACCCCAAGGCCTCTTCCTCCCGCCAGGCCCCAGGCACGGCCACAGCACTCAACGCTGCTCTGTGTTCAGATTAAAATGCGTAGCCTACTTTTGCTGTTTCACTTCTCTTCAGTAATTCGGTGGCAGGCGGCTTGCTTTCAGGTCTCAAAACAGAAGCAGGTAGACAGACAGGAAGGTCTGTGTAAACTAATCAAGTGGCTTCTCCTGTGGGATAAAGGGGGAAGGATGGCGCAGGGTGGAAGAATGCGTTATTTTTTTTCCTGAACACCTGGCAGGTCCTCCAAAACAACACTGCTTAGCTTGCAACATTAGTCGTTTGCAAGAGACTGCGTGCAGAGTGTAACTCTGAACTTTTTCCTACTTTGGGTTGCAACTACTCTTCCATTTATTTTGCGTTTCTCTGTGTGAGTGCAAAAGAGTGAGAGAAGGCAAACACTCACGCTGTCTCCGAGGGGGACATCTGTGTTCGTTCGAGTAGTGGCCATACCTGAATCTTGTGTAAATCTACGTAGAGCTGTACAAGTTGGAGTGCAGAAAATACGTAATGGCATCCTTAGCTTCGACTGCCTTCTCCCACGTACAATTCATTGCAAAATTCCGCACACAGAATTTATTAGGAACTTAACCTCAGAGATGCTGGGAGCAGCAGAGGCAGGGAGCGTGTGTTCGCTGGGGATGAAGAGCAGCAACACAAGAAGATGGAGAGGTTGGTGGCTGTGCAGAGGGTGAGTCTCACTGGCGACAGCAGAAATGCCAAGCAGAAAAGGGTGGAAGGGCACTGCTCTGGGGTAGGGTGCTCAGTCCCCAAGAGGGACCTCCTGCTCTTTCTTCAGCGATCCCTTTTCTTCACGGGAAACACGGACGAAGGCTGCTGGCAAAGACATCTTCAGCGTGCACATATTCTGAGCAGAACGCGAGTGAATTTTAGGGAGCTGCTGCCCAGGCTAGAGGAATGTGGGGTTTGTTTCTTTTTCCTGATGAAGAATTGGGACAGGAGGGTTGTAGCTGTTGAGCTGCTCTGCTTGACATTTTCCCCTGTGAGAAAAGGTCGGGGTGGAAGGGAGAGAACAGGCTCTTCTGTGTAAAAAACCCCTTCTTAAATGCCCACGTTTGGGGGGGGGAAGAAAGTGCATTCTGAACAATGAGATATATATTAAGAGTTGGCACGGTTTTCACAACTTTTGGAAGTGCACAGAAGTGCTGTATGCTGTGTGGGGTTTTGTATTTGGCACTTGCTATCTCTGTGCATGTATGAATGGCTGTATACATCGTTTTGGTTTTGCCCAGTGTGAAATTGAGCATGAGGCATGCGAGCTTGCAGCACTTTTATATAAAAGCAGCACTGTGTGACTTACACACATAAATATATTTAATGAAGATGTAGGAGGGAGTCTCGGCATTTTTTTCCCTATTGGTCTACAGTATGCGAAAATACAACTCTCTCTCCAGTCCCACTGGGAGTTTTTCTTGTAAACAAGTTGAAATATGTACTATTTTAGTACACTGTTTTCTGTAAAATTGTTTATTTCTCATTATATATATCTTACAGTAAAGCCTGGATGCTTATAATTAGAGCCCAATAGCCTGAGGCATTTGCACAAGTAGCAGGGAATAATGCCTCCTTGAAGAAGGACTTTGTGCTTGAGATAAACAAAATGGACAGAGAGTGAGAAGGGTTATGATGAGATGACTTGGCCAAGGCCCTGCAGCAGGTGAGTGAGTGGCAGAGGTTGAAGTAAAATCTGGGTCGCAGGCTCCAGACAAGCTGCTGACCTTTGGTAGAGGCACTTCTTCTCACTTTTCATCCTAGAGTGACCTCTATGCAGTTTTCCTGCTCCTACACATAAAAAAAGAGTTCATAGGGTAAATATGTACCACCGTTTCCATAATGAAGTTTTTTTTTTTCCTGACTTTTGTAAGGCAGATTAAGATGAGGCAGACTTGGCTGTATTACTGCTGGATTCTGTATAGTGTGAGTACAGCTCCTTGAAGCTCAACTGAAAATGTATTAAAGTTGTTTTCTGCAGAAGTGGATAGGAGACATACAAGATGTCTAAAGCTTTCTTACGATCATTTTCATAGTGGGGTGAGTCTCTTTTACAATGTCTTACAGGCCCAATTAAATCATCTTCCTTTAAATAGGAAATCCACCATTAACTTTACAAGGTGGGAATTGGGCCCCTATTGTTAATAAAAGCTTTATATGGTAGCCTACGTGTATTCTGAAAGTGAAACTGGAAAATACAGGGAATAAAATACTTGGATGGATTAATAAATGAAGAACATGTCCTTAGAGCTGAACATAGAATTGCTTATTTTGTATTGTTAAAGGTAAATGGATCAGCTAATTTCCTGATACGTATGAGTGGCTCTCCAAGCAGTGTCCAACTGTCTGGTTGCTGGGTACTAGACATCTGAGTAGGAAAAATATGTATTTTAAATTAATCAATGTATTTGTTATGGTTTGTGTGATGTTCTCTGTTAAAAGCATCAATTTGACATTATTGCTTGCAGGAAAAAACTTATAGGGTATTTTACACAGCTTTTGTGTTGGGAGGAAGAATATTTTTTCTGGAGTAATTATACTTGCTGGAAATGGAAACATCTGTAATGTTGTGTATATATAATCTGTTGAGTCTGCTTTGCATCTCAGTTACCAGACAGGGCAACCTGTATGATTTTGAGTTGGAAATAGAGCCCAGCACAACAGCTGTTTTGAAACTCAGTTTGAAGACTGTTGGGGTCTTTTACTTTGTAAGTAAGTTCGCTTGAAGTTTGCAGGTTCCTATGCTCATTTCACTATCCGAAAAGGGGAGGAATGTTTTAGTCCATAAGTTACTGTAAAATTCTTCATTTTTTCATTATTATTTAGACACACGCCTGAAACACACTTAAAAGGGGCTGAGATGTGCAATGTTGTAACTTTCAGGTGCTTCCTTTTTAATTAAAAATGCTACCACCCTGTATTAAAACGTGCTGTATTTTTTCACTGTCCATTTTTGACCAGCTATCAGTATATTCAGTATTTTAAAGGAAACAGTAACTTGAGTTTGTCCAGAGCTGCAGTTTTCACTGCCCAGAGCTACCAGACAGTTTGATTTCCCACATTGTAATGCTCCACCTAACATGGAAAGGGTCAAAAAAATGATTGAAATTATATTGTACAATGCAAAATGGACATTATTTCTGCACTGTTTTTTGGGGGGGGAGGGGGGTAGGCAACAGTGTGTAATTGTTGGGTTTTATTATATTGCACTCATCCAGTTCTATTAAAAACCGCAATGAAGATGCAGTGTTTGTGGTCCCTGGGCCTGCAAAGATGATAGTCATTACTTTGCAGGCTTCAGTACGTCCCGTCCCCAACTTTCTCCAGTGGCTTTATCAAAGCTCTGCAGATGTCCCAGAAAACAGGACTTCAAGGGCTGGATGTACTAGTACAAATGCTTCTTTTCCTTCCTCCCCTGAAAACTGTTTTGATCTTAAATTAAGTTTTTGCAGAGGTGAAGTCATACTTTATTTTCTAATGAAAAGCAGATGAGTGACATTAAAAAAAAAGGAAGAAAGAAAGGATTGAATGAACAAAACGCTGTGGAAGACTTAAAACAGCTCAGCAATTTAAGCCACTGAGGAATGCACATTGCGTATTCGCTGCAAAATACATGCACTGTCAACATCTACAATGGAAGCTTAGTTTTAAAGAGGACCTTTTCGGGTTGGGCTTCCCCTTGGTTAACAGAACATTTATGGCGATTCTGGTGTTTTGTAGAGAGATTAACAAAAAACCCCACCCGACTAGTTGTTTGAGAAAGGTCTCTGGAATAATTTGAACAATACAAATTAACAGCTGCTTCAAAAAGATCGAGCAAGGAAATACTACTGAGGGCAGAAAAAATCTGCCGTTTAGCATGCTGTTTTTATTCTTCTGTGGGTGGGTTGATACTTATTTTTGGCAGTTTAACTGAGTTGTTATCACGATCCGTACATCTGTTTGCATCTTTGCTGTTAATTATTGTGTGACACTAAAGTTTGTGTAGTTACTCACTGTTTATAGTTTTTAGGCTTGATAGTAAACACTATGTGGTGAGCTTCTGTGAAATACTGCTTCCACTCGGAGAAAAAATTCTCAAAAAGCTTGTGCCTAGTTTGAGGGGTTTTTTTTTGGACGTGTCATCGTGGTATGATTTAAGGCAATTAATAATAAGCATGATATTATGTCAGTAATTTACAGTGTTGAACATTTGTCTGGACAGCTGCAGGGGAAGGATCAAATCTTACTTCCCTAAAATAACATTCAATCAATTTTTGTTTGAGAACTTTTTTTACAATTGTCTCCTGAATTTTCTTTGGCAATAGTCTCATTTTCTGACAGTTTTTTCCATGACAGTTTCCCTATCCTTGTCTTAACTGCAAAAACTTTCATGGCAACGTTGCCTCTCCCACAAAGCAAGTGTGGATAGCTTCTTTGGCATTGGTTTCGTCTAGCTCAAAACGCTAATTGACAGTGGGGTTTCACATCATCTCACAGATGTTAAAAGTCCCCGCACCAGAGCAATTCTTCGTTCGCGGGTGTCACTCAATCACTGATCTCTCTTTCTAGTCATTAAACTTTAAGAGGTGCTGTAGGTCTGGATAACAAACAAAAGTAAAACTGGCTCAACGCCTGTGAAACTGTAAGAGACGGTTTCTGCTGTAAAATAACATTAGGCTTTCTTCACTTCTCTGCCAATCGTATTACTCATAGAAAACATGATAGAGAAATAACATAAAATTCACCATAAACCCATCCAGACTGCATTTTATGAGACTTGAAAAAAAAAAAAAAGTTTTAATCTTCCCCCCATTTCATGCTGAAGCCTCCCCGATGCCACATGATAAATACATGGGGCGGCAGGCAGCCTGCACCCACGCAGTGAGTTTGGAGAGCCAGGGGGTTCGGTTCCCTTCCCAAGCGAAGCCTGTGGAAGTGCTTTTGCTGGGCACTCGCAGGTGGATTTCTGAGTCATCTTGGTGGTGGCTCCAGCTGCTGAAAATGCAACTCGTACCCGTCGGTGCCTGCCAGACTGCCCTGGGCGCAGGCAGAGGCCGTGGCACCTGGGGCCAGCAGCCCAGCCGGATAAATACTTGAGTGTTAGAGATGGTAAAAACATCATGTGGTGCTCAGTAAACTGCAGGCAGCGGTTTTCTTGGTGCTCAGGTTGCTGAATATTGAAATTAGTTTGGAAGAACAATTTACCATCAATCTACAAAGCTGTCAGTCTTAGGAGCTGTCAAGCTGTGAGCCTTTCTGCTTCTCCTGGGTGCTTCTTCCTTAGGTAAGATGGGATTTTGAAATATAAAAGGAAAATGAAATAGGTTCCTGAAATAGATTGCATTAAGTATATTCAGAATTGGTTTTGAAAAATGACACATTAGTGCTGGATATATTAACATCACAATTTTTCCTACTAAGGTTGTTTCAGTCATAAATATTATGCAGCAGTTGGCAGCGTTTCCTCACTGAGGTCTTGGCACTGCAAATTCATGAATATCTTGTTACAGCTCAGTGCACAGATATCTCTGAACAGTAGAAAAGCATGCTTTCCTTCCTATTAGATCTTCAAATAGGAGCGTGAATGGTGTTGGAAGTACTTTACCATCAAAATGACTAAGATCTTTTGCATATGCAGAAGAAAACCCCCTTCTGTAAAGCTGCTCTTTGGATAACTAGAATCGGGACCTTGAACATCTGAGCAATTTGAGATATGATTACCAAAGTCACAACCTCTCCCTTCATGGTCACCCGTTGTAGCTGCAGTCTATTGGTGGTGTTTCACACTCAGTGAGCGTAAATAAACTTGCCAGGGTAAGCAGCGGGTTGCATTGGTAATGTCACTGTGTCGCTGTCTTTGGCAGCCGTTGCTTTTGTGGCCAAGCTTTGCTTTGGACAGCTTTCTCCAATAGTGCAGTTATTGTTCGCTTATTTCAGTATTTAGTTAACCCTGCTTGGGTTGTCATAGGCTTGGTTTTAGTTGCATGATTCCTTGTTGCTGGTATAGCTGCTAAGGCAGTGATAAGTGTTGCCTGTTAGGTAACCTGTTTTAAATCGTTAAAACGGTGTCGGTGGCAGGATCTGTACATGTTGATATACCAGTAGATGTTTGAATACTTGTTTCTCTAGAGTGAGGGCTTTCTGTAAAGGAATTAGCCGGAGTTTGTGTATGTATTTTTCTGAGCACAGTTTGCTTACCAGAACTGTGTTAATCTCTCTGTTTGGGGTAGTGCTCTATTTCTGATTATTTCTAGAAAATAAAGTCTAGCTGTGTGGTAGATAAAAAAGCAAAACCAAACAAAGCAACGGCGACAAAACACCCCAAAAATGCCCCCCACAACATCGAAACAAACCAAACCCCCAACTTGTAATTAATAATATTACTTCTTACCGCTTTTGAAGTAGCGCGGTTTCAGCAAGTTCCTGTGTTTTCCGGTGTTGATCGATATCCCTTTGCTTTGGTTTCAGGCCGAGGAATCCTGTAAATGCAATGGCTGGAAGAACCCCAACCCGCCTCCCACGCCGCCGCGGGCAGAGCTGCAGCAGGCGGCCGTCAGCCTCGCTGAGCCCTGCCGCAGCTGCAGCCACGCGCTGGGTAAGCTTTTGCCTTTCTCCTGCAGTCCGCGTGCCCGTGCCCAGAAATCTCTGCTCTTGCCCGGCGGGAGTCAAGATGCCACGCCAAGACCTAGAAATGGGGGTTACGATTGGACATAGATGTCAGTAACTTAGATTAAAATATGTCGAAATATCCTGAAATGAGTTTTGGAGGAATCGAACTAAGGTACAACTTCTAACAATCCAGATGTTCTAAGTTGGTAATGTGCAAAAGTGCTGTTAAGCTACCCATAACAATTTTAATACTTTGTGTAACATATGCATTAACCTCACATGGGTTTATCTGTAGGCTGCCTTAGTTACAACGTGAAGGACTCTCTCCTGTAGGCTGTGTTATGTTTTCTTACTATAGAATAAAATATAAAATATTCTTGAACATTGCTAAAGCAGGTACTCTTGCCTACCAAAAGAACCTGGCCTTTTCTGTGTCACAGAAAATAATACTGGGGTTGTACATCTTAGTATTATCTAAGTTATTGTGCAGACAGCTTGCATATCTTGGAAGCAACAGCCCAAAATCCACTTTAAATACTGTTGTGGGGTTTGTTTTGTTTTTTGGTTTTTTTTTCAGACTAATAATAAATAATGATTTGTTACCCACTGTTGTGGTTTAACCCCAGCCAGCAACTAAGCACCACGCAGCTGCTCACTCGCTCCCCTCCTACTCAGTGGGGTGGGGGAGACAATCGGGGAAAAAAAGTAAGACTCGTGGGATGAGATAAGAACAGTTTAATAGAACAGAAAGGAAGAAACTAATAATGATAATGATAATAATAATAACAATAATAAAATGACAATAATAATAATAAAAGGATTGGAATATACAAAACAAGAGATGCACAGTGCAATGGCTCACCACCCGCCGACCGATGCCCAGTCAGTTCCCAAGCAGCGATCTGCACCACAGGCCAAGTCCTCCCAGTTTATATACTGGGCATGACATCACATGGTATGGAATACCCCTTTGGCCAGTTTGGGTCAGCTGCCCTGGCTGTGTCCCCTCCCAGCTTCTTGTGCCCCTCCAGCCTTCTTGCTGTCTGGGCATGAGAAGCTGAAAAATCCTTGACTTAGTCTAAACACTGCTGAGCAACAACTGAAAACATCAGTGTATTATCGACATTCTTCTCATACTGAATCCAAAACATAACACTATACCAGCTACCAGAAAGAAAATTAACTCTATCCCAGCCGAAACCAGAACACCCACATAGCCTGAAAGAGTGGTGAATCACTGTATTATTTTTTTAAGAATTTATGCTTATCCAAAATAAAAACTGATGACTTTTTCTGTATAAGTTAGCAAATATTGAATAAAAATTGAGCTAAAATAAAATTCAGAACTAGTTGAAAAGAAGCAGTTGCTATTTTTTTGTTGATGTCCAAAACTTAGGACAGTGAAATAAGAGAAAGGAAATCTAAAACCTTTACAACAGATCATTTATTTTTTTTACTTTTGAAAATAATCTGTACTTTGTGTGGAATACTTTTTTTTTTAAATTGGGATTTATTTCCATTTCTGCTCTCTTTTCTTTTTATGCTGTCATTACATTTTATCTATTTCTGGGCTTCTCAGCAGATTTCTTTCCTTTCCTGATAGCCCAAATCTCTGGGTTTGCTTGGAGAAGATTAACAAGTACATAGTATCACAGAAAGTTTGGCCGCTTTAGCCAAGGTAGTTTCAACCTTTCATCATGCAGCTTCTCTGTGCTGCTTTTGGTTATGCAGTTAGGGTAGCTTGTATTACCCATCCCTTTCATTCCTGGCCTTTGAAGAAAGAGTTTTGGGGGGGGGGGCAGTTTGGTTGGGTTTTTTTTCTCTTTTTTGATCCTATGAGATGTGTCTGTCAGTTCCCTGTTCTTCAGCAGAATTTGTGCATGGCTATGTATTTTGTAGAAAAACTCTGCTCTTCTAAAGGCTGAGACTGTTTTTGGTCTATTAAAAATCTAAAATCGCTCGTTAGCTAGGGAACCAAGAAAAAACAGTACTGTAAAACCAGTACCAGTGAAATTGTACCTTATGGGGCAAACTGTATTTTTATTTATTGCTGTTTTTAGAAAAGGTAAAGTTTCTTATTCTGATGGCTGCAGCTAATGACTGAAATGAGTTGCTGTCTGCTTCCTCATACTACTGGCAAAAAAAAGTCTTTCAGCACTGTTTTCCAAGATAATTTTCCTATTCATCTCCTCTAAATTAGTATGTTCGTGCTGAATGCCTTTAAAACCAGACTGACCACAAGTTGTGCAGGCTTCAGGTCATCACCTGCGCTGCGTTTTCTCTTCCTCGGAGAGCTGCTGAAATAGCTATGTAGAAATTCCTGTACTGGTTAAAGCCAGACCTGATGTAAAATGGAGGATATTAGGGTTTTTTGCCTTTTTTTATTTATTATTTTCTTCCAAAGGTAATCCTAGACATTAGTCTTGCTTGAGATGTCTCTTTTTGGGGGTGTGGTTCAATCTTCCAGCCAGTGCATTTTTGGTGCGTAAATCTGTCTGGTGGTGCATATTAGCTTATCGAGCTTATTTCTGTCTACTTACCTACAACTTCTGTTCTTCTATTTGTGGCTCAGCCCCACAGCGAGGCTCAGTACTGGGTTTTTAATGAATATTTCTTTTATTTGGGTGGTGTATTGGGTCACTATCATAACAGTGTGAAGTGGTGACCGAATTGGGTGCTGGGAGAATTCATTATCCACCAGCCTCAAGACCAGGTGTTATGTAGTCAGAGGCTCTTTTCTATTTTATATTGGATTGGTTTCACAGGGTGCATTTTCCTGTTGGTAAACATTTTCAGTTTTGAGTCACTTTTAAATCTAGTTAATTTATGTGTTAGTACACTATATACACACTCAGTCTCTCTTTTTTCCCCAGCACTGTCTTCAGTTCCTGCTACGTACCTTCATGTAGCGTATTTGGGTATTTCTTGGTTTGCCTGTCCTACATGCATTACTAGTGTTTTTATGTACAGACTGACTTTGAGATAGACTGTGGACACGTTCCTCATTAATCTGTTTTCTCACTGCTCCTAATTCATACATGAAAGTACTTGCTTATTGAAGTTGCACAACTAAAATAATTAACTTGCTATTTTTCAGGTCTTCGTGTCACTGAATTGGCCTTGCTCTTTCTGTTTGCTTTCTTCTGCACGCTGTAGCAACCTATACTTGTGATTTTTTTTATTTTTTTATTTTGCAATTACTTTTTTGCAAGTGTAACAGCAGCCGAGGAAGGGTGTACCAGTTGGGCAATGTGGACGAATGGGACTGTGTAACTCTAGTCAAGAGTAACGCGGTATTTGATGTCAGTGTACTAAAGCTTTGATTTTAATAAAAGGCTTACTAATGACCACAAGAATTTGGGAATGGGCTGTGAATATCTGAAGAAAGATAGTTTGTTGGCCTGGTGTACAAACATTGGTGACTCTACAGTAAATGGTAACTGGTAGTAAATACATGCTGGTAATACACTTATGTTACTTTTAGATTCACCGTATGGGTAATAATTCTCTAGTTTAATATAATGTTTAAATATGGCCACTAAGTAGTCAAGGTAACTTTCAGTATTTTTATGGAAACTGTGTGGAAATGGCTTCTTATGCTGATGTTTTAGTCATTTGTTAGTTGAGTGCAAGGTTTCTTTAGTATTTTATCAATTTTTAATGAAGTGCTCATCTAGGAGGGTATTTATTACTTTTACAGGATCAGAACAGACAGCTGGGAATATTAAACCTTCATATCTGGCTTAAGGACAGAAATGAAACAGTTTTATTCTGCCCAGAAAGCTGAATATTTGTTCTTAAAGAAAGCTCATGATGGCCATTCCCCTTTCAGTTATGAGCATATGCTCAGAACTTAAGACACTATATTATAAATGTTCATTTAAGTGGAAACAATTGCTGGCATCTTTTTAATGTTCTGAGCTACGGTGTCCTTTTTACTTGAAGCTGCACAAATTTATTGAATTTAAATGTTTTGGCAGGTGTCATACCAAACTTCCCAAAACAAACCATCTTTGCTGGCTGGCCGATAAATATGATCATTTTAAAGTCAAGTGTTATTTTTCCCCACGTCCTCCCCCACTAAGGAATCAGATTTATGTTGAAAATTTCTCACCAGTCCTAATCACATTGGCATATCTAAGAAGTAAATATTGATAAATGTTATTAAAATACAGAAAAATTAATATGCCTAACCTTTTAAATACTTTTCCTTTTCTTTTAATGGGTATTTTCTGTCCTTTCAGTGGAAATGATATGCTTACCATGTACATTGGGCTGGAGTCAGCGAAGATCATTGCTTTTTGTAATGCAAATACCTTCTTTCTGGGAATTGACTGTTTTAAATTGCCTTCTCTCTTCCCAGGGCCAGTTGTTCAAACCAGCTTGAAATGAATGTCCTGCTTCATGCATGCAAACCTCAAGCTTTTGAAAATTACAGATGTGGAACTGTATTTACCTTTGGAGATGATAAAAGGGAGTTTTTCACTTGGAAATTAGGATACGTTGAAAGATGCTTTTTTGTAAACTTCTGAACAAATAAGCATGTACAATCTGCCAAAGCTTTGTTAATATAGTGTGCACAAAGCACAGTTTGACCTTAGATGATGTGAAAGTAAGAGACTTAGCCAGTAATGCCCAGTTTAAAACAAAAAGCCTATTTATGGCGCTGGGTTTTTTTTGTTGGGTTTTTTTTTTTTTTACTCTTCACAGGATAAGGTGGTACTTCCATCAACACCTGGATTACCTAATTTATGGGAATTACGGATTTATTTTCTTTAGTCAAGAAACCTTGTCTCAAAAGCATAGGTGTTCGATAAAAATGTACATAGTTAGTTTTATATTGCAACTTATTAATACAGACAGGATTTGTGTGGTCTGTTGTAATGTTAACAGACGCTGTGATTCCAACCAGCCGTTGTTTGTCTGCTGTGGGAATTACCACCCCTGGACTACCTTTACAAATTGCTCTGATGTGACACATATTTCAGTTACCTCTGATAAGATATTCTGTTTAAATAGGTTATTACAGGATCAGTGCCTTTACTATTACGGCTTAGTTTGAGATATCCTGGGGAATACTAGTGCTGTTGGCTCTCTCAGTAGGCTTTTTACAGGTTTGGGTTTTTATTTCGTTTAGCTGCTCATGTTTCTCACCTGGAGAATGTGTCTGAAGAAGAAATGAATAGGCTCCTGGGGATTGTGTTGGATGTGGAGTATCTGTTCACCTGTGTCCACAAGGAAGAAGATGCAGACACCAAGCAAGTTTATTTCTACCTATTCAAAGTAAGCTGAACTTGTGTGGTATCTTCTCAGGTTTTTCACTCTCTCACACATAAGCCAATTCCACTGCCCCTCATGCATGTATTGGCTTCATCTGGTGAGACTTTTTTTCTCTAGTGTGACGCTCTAGTGGCTAACTATGGACTAGACATTCTGGTACTTGCAATGTACCGTGTCTTACTCCAAAAGTCATCCAGCTGATTGAGGAGTTGACCCCGAGTCCCATCTAAAAACTGCGCAACTTGCAAGCCTTAACCTCTTCACTTACACATTGGGAAGAGTCAGTTGACATAAATGCTAATTTAGCTGCCTGCATTTGCTCAGAGAAGCCTCTTACACGCATTTCAAAGAAGGTGAATTCACAGTGAAGTTTAGTAGCTATAAATTTAGATGACTAAACAAACCGATATATAGCCAGGAGATTTTCAACATTGCAGTGTGTTGTGCACCTGTGACTTCCATTGACCCTATGTATGCAAGTATGCTAATTTAAAAAAATTTGTGTATTTTTAACAGCTTTTGAGGAAGTGCATTTTACAGATGGGAAAACCTGTAGTAGAAGGATCTTTGGAAAGTCCTCCATTTGAGACACCTAGCATTGAACAGGTAAACAGTCAACACATGGGTTTGGTTGGTGTGCTTGTTTTCTCTTATTTGGTAGGGTTTTGGGGGTTTGGTTGGTTTGTTTTGGGTTTTGTTTTTTTTCTTTTTCTTTTTTTTTGTATTTTGTAAATATAGGCACTGGTTTTGAAAACATGGCATTTTAGGCAGTTTGCAGATGTTCCTCTGTATTACTTAGGACAAAGTAGGGGACTGTAGGAGACTTTTGCTGCTGCTTCTCCTTTAGTGTTGGTACAATAGTTACATTATTTGACTTCTCTCATCATTCATCTTAGGCTTTAATGAAACTGACTTTTATTGTGGTTTTAGAGAATTAACTTAAAATACTGCTTTTATGTGCGGCAGTTCTAATCTTTCTTTGTTTGAAGTGATGAAAAATGCTGTTGAAGTTTTGAAATCCAATATTAAAATGACACTTGTCTTCTGTAAATCAGTGAAAATGTTACAATCCAATTCAGTGAGATCATAGCCTTTTCTTTCAAAGGGTACACAACAAAAAACAAAGCCAAAACCAAAGAATAACTGAGGCTTTTGTAACTCTCAATGGATAAAGAACATATGACAAATTCAGATTTTGATTAAGCAAGCTCCTGAGAATGCACTTTTGGCACACAAGTGGGCCCATTAGCTCCAGTGAGACTATGCGGAGGCTCACATACCTCCCTGAAACAGGAGCTCAATGTTTTCCCATCAGTGCATGAATGGATGCTCTACTGTTAAACAGGATATTTTAAATATGAAGACTGTTATGTGTAGTAATTATTTCCTTGCAACTCTCACTTCTTACAATTTAGGAAAATCAAAACACTTTCTTGCTGAATTTCTGGGAAGTCTTCACCTTAAGTTCTCCTTTAGTTTGAGTATAAACAAAGAATAAGTGTATGTAACCTCCATACTAAAAAGGTTTTGTACAATATAATTTTTTGTCACATTCTTCATACTGTTCAATTTGCTGAAGAAAGTAAATCATAGAGATGAAGCAGTAATTCTTCTTACAGTTTGTTTTAAAATAATTTTCCCTTAAAATAGACCGATATTTTCAGTTCTGTTTTTAGCAGTTCAGTAACTCAATCACACAAAATTATTATTGTAAAAATAAAGAAGTATTATAATTGATTTAAAATAGATATGTATTGCAGCACTTTTAGTCACACACTTTGACTGTCTTTAGTAGGTTTTTTTAAAGTGGACAGTATACAAAGTGCAATGAGGGGATGTACTTCTGAAATATTGGCACTTCTTAAAGAAATAATGTGATGTGTAGACACAAACTTAACTGGAAGTGCACAAGCCCTAGTCTACTATTGTCATGGTTTAGTGTCAGCCAGCAGCTGAGCACCACGCAGCCACTCACTCACTTCCCTCCCACCCAGCGGGATGGGGGAGACAATCGGGGAAAAAAATAAGTAAAACTCATGGGATGAGATAAGAACAGTTTAACAGAATAGAAAGGAAGAAACTAATAATGATAATGATAATAATAATAACAATAATGAAATGACAATAATAATAATAAAAGGATTGGAATATACAAAACAAGTGATGCACAGTGCAATGGCTCACCACCCGCCGACCGATGCCCAGTGAGTTCCCAAGCAGCGATCTGCGCCACAGGCCAACTCCTGCCAGTTTATATACTGGGCATGACGTCCCATGGTATGGAATACCCCTTTGGCCAGTTTGGGTCAGGTGCCCTGGCTGTGTCCCCTCCCAGCTTCTTGTGCCCCTCCAGCCTTCTTGCTGTCTGGGCATGAGAAGCTGAAAAATCCTTGACTTAGTCTAAACACTACTGAGCAACAACTGAAAACATCAGTGTATTATTGACATTCTTCTCATACTGAATCCAAAACATAACACTATACCAGCTACCAGAAAGAAAATTAACTCTATCCCAGCCGAAACCAGGACAACTATTGAAAAGCAGCTGGAGAGGTGATACTTCATGTACAGAGGAAATAAGTCATGCAGCATGGTTGTCAGCAAAATTGTGCGTATGTGAGCATATAGAAGAAAGCCTACTGGATTTTCTCTGTTCCCTGCCAAAGTTTTTCACTTTGAGAAGCAAGGAAAAATAAAGAATTTTCCATCTGTCCCTTTAAGTCAGCTGTTGGAGGTAGATAGAATAAAAACATCTGGATGTATCTGCTCCTGTGTACAGGGGAACCAGCTTATGGCAGCTACATGAGTAACTGGGCAAGGAGTTAATGGTCTCTGGTTTTTGTTTTCTTTCCCATGTAGTGCAAGTTCAGGGTTAATAAACGTAAAATGAGGAATGTTCGAGGACACTCCAACAAAAATTATGGCAAAATAATTAAACATAATTTTCTTCTGTTTCAAGGGTGTGAATAATTTTGTGCAGTACAAATTTAGCCACTTACCCTCAAAGGAAAGGCAAACAATAGTGGAACTGGCTAAAATGTTTCTGAACCGCATTAACTACTGGCACCTGGAGACACCTTCTCAGCGCAGACTAAGATCACCCAATGACGATATTGCGGGGTATAAAGTGAATTATACCAGGTAACGCTGCTTTTGCTTGTTACAAGTCTTGCTTACAAATGTGGCAGGTACACGCTTCAGGAATACACCAGTACCTGTACGCTGTAGGTGCACTTCGTGAATTTTTGCAGTCACAGAGTTTATATGAAAACCTGAGGATTTTAGTGAGATTATATCAGAGTTTCGCATGCATCCCTGTGTTTTGAGAGGTGTGCTTTATCAGCCAAGAACAGGGAGTAGAGGTTGTGAACATCTGTCTCTACCAATGCTTGTGCACGTCCTGTGTTTGCAAAGTTGCTCTCAGTCTTCTTAAGATATGAGCCTCATCATGTAAGATCCTTATTTAATCTACTAAAAATTTAGGCAATTTGTTATTCAACTTAGAAAGAAGATAACATTAACCATTGTGAAGCGTCACAGTTTGAAAAAAAATTGGAAGGTTTGAAAAATTAAAATAATTTTGTAAGTGTTTGAATGCTAAATGGTGAATAGATATTATTAGGTTCCTTAAAATAATAGTTTTCGTTATGACCTTTTAAGACGTTGTCAGAATTCAAAGGGATAACTTAGTCACTGGGGGAAGAAGAGCTGGGATAAAAAGCCGTGTCCCTTTTGATTTCGCTTTTCTAACAGCAGCGCAGTGCCTTTGTCAGTTAGCAGGGTTAAGGTTCCTGCTGGTGCGGGCAGCAGTTAACGTGCTGCCGGTGAGCGCAGGCAGCGGTTAGCCTGTCTCTCTCTGTCAGCGCCCCTGCTCCCGGGAGCTGCCCGGGACGCTCCTCCTGGCTGAGGGTGATCCCCGCCTTCTGCCCGCTTTCCTGGGGACCTTTCCCCTGGCAAGCCTCGGCTCTGTGAAGGGAGAACAGCAAACCTTGGCGTGAGTTGAGAGCGTGGCTGGTGACGCAGCAGACTGTGCTGCGTCTGTGTCCGACCAGGATGCTCTCGGATGACCGGCCACCTCGAAGAACCACCTGGCGTAAAGGACAGTTACTGATAATCCATGGGGCTCCTAACACCATGTTTGGTGGCTCTTTGACCTCCAGTTGTTTGTGATACTGGTGTCAGGGTTGACTGGAGTCAATTTGTATTAGGAATCGATAGCTAGCATTGGCTCTGGTTGGTGCCTTTTGCTGTAAATCATTTTGTCACTTGTGGCTTCTCAGACCTCCCTGCCGGCAGTCCCTAAGGTTCCCTCCGACCCAAAGTGCCACCTCTCCATCTGGTCTAACCTGTCGTGAGCTTCTCCGCTCCACAGTGTTGGAGGCACTGCTCGGGGTGCTGAGGAAGCCGCTGTGCGCCATGGTGCACCTCCTGAATTCTTCCAGTCACCGACACTGAAAACCTGGTGATCTGAGTGAAACCGTATCAGTTCCACGCGCATCCTTGTGTTTTGAGAGGTGTGCTTTGTCAGCGAAGAACAGGGAGTGGAGGCCTGCGAACAACTGTATCTCACAACCCTTTTGCAACTCTTGTGTTTGCAAGGATTAAGACACAAGAGTTTGGGGGAGGATTTTAGACAGGCTGTACTTTGGGTCTGGATGAGAAAACCCATGCAGGATCCAGCACAGTCTGTTTGCGTCCAATTCTTAACATTTTGTTTTCATTGTTGAAGCTTTCATAATGGTTGTGGTCTGATTCTGCTAAAGCTACAGGTACCATTGACTGTTCACTTACAAGCAGACACTGAAATCTTGTTTATAAAATTAACAGATATCATGACCTACGTAGTCAGTGTACTCCTGATTTACTTCTTCAGTACCATGATCCCTTTTCCAAGATGAGTAACATGACATGCTATATTTTCATATGTATTTCTTAATGCAAAACTCATTACAGAGGGAGTTACTGGTAAATGAAAGAGTATCAAGACAGGGTGTAATGGGAAGAAGCCAGCTGATGGGAAACCAGAGTGGGAGTCCAGTTGGATTGGGGTGGAGCTAGTTAAAGGTGTCACCCTTTTTGCGTCTATGTGGGGAAATGTAGAAGTTTAAACAGGGGAAAATGGACCAGGCTAAGGGTCTTTGGAGTCGCAGGCAGGAGATGTGGGTGGCTGAATGAATGAGCTGTGGAGAGAATCCCTGACATCGACATGAATTTTATGTGATCTATGATTATTGTCTGGAACAAGAACACTTTGCTGAAGCTAGACTGCAGAGAAAAAGAATATATGGAGACTTAAAAGTACTTGGCTGTCATTTCTTTAAAAAACTGGGCAATATAAACGCTGTTTAACTCTGTCCAGAGTTGATGTGGGACTGATTTATATGTTCATATAGCTCTCAGCTGCATTATAAATGATGTGGGTAGTGGTTTTATTGCATTAATTCATATGTTAGATGGTGATAATTATCTGGCTTTTTTCCCCTTTACAGGTGGCTTTGTTATTGCAATGTCCCTCAGTTCTGTGACAGTCTACCTCGGTATGAAACCACCCAGGTTTTCGGTAGGACATTGCTTCGCTCCGTTTTTACTGTAATGAGACGGCAACTGCTGGAGCAGGCCAGGCAAGAAAAAGACAAGCTTCCTCAAGAGAAACGAACACTAATCCTCACCCATTTTCCAAAGTAAGGGGTCGCAATGTGCCTGCATTCAAAGTTAACCAGTAGTGTGCAACTTTGGCATAGAAATGGAAAAATTACCTGCAGCTTAAAATAATTTCTCCTTTTATTCAGTAACAAGCAGATACTGCAGCTTTCTTTTCTGCCATAGCTTGAACTAGTGTATTTTATGTACACAACAGCTTGTTTTGCTTTGTCCTAGGGCTTTACTTTATAAAAAGGATTATTCATCTTGCTGGGGGGATTGTGCTTATTGCCTATTAGCAGGTATTGTTGGTCACTTACTTTCTTTTTCTGCAGTTCGTGGAAGCAACATAGGTCCAGATCTCCAAAAAGATATGCTCTCTTCTGCTTTTGTGGTGGAGCAGTAAAAAAGGGAGTGTTGTACTGGAGTTTATATATACCTAAGAATTTCAGTTTAATTCAACATTGTAATAGGGAACAAAGTAGTCATCCCACCCCCAGAAGAGATGTGTTCATTTGACAAAGAAGAGAATAGTCGGTATAAAGCTGCATCAGTGAATCCTAAACTCATTAATTTCATATTGAGTACCTGTTCCAGTACTGAAATATTGACGATGATCTCTCACAATGAAACAACAATAATTACATGTTGGGGTATGTGGGAGAGTGACTTGTCTCAAAACATGCTCAACTTTGACAGTCTTTAATATTAAACATTTTACTGGTGGTTAAGGGTGGTGGTGGTGACAAGATCATTCATTGTATGCTTCCTGTTGAAATAGTGTGTCACTTAAAAAATATCCGTATTTTGTGAGGGTGGCTTGGCTCTCTAGCCCATATTTTAAAAGTCTGTCCCTCCTAACAGCAAAGGAACTGAACCTACAGGAGGCCTGGTGGCACTGATGCTAGGCAAGCTACTGTCTGGGGCTAGAGTTGGGTTAGTGCTCAGGGGAACGATAAATACATGAGCTCTCCAAAGCTGGATAGAACCAGGATTTGTTGCTCCTACTATTATGAATAGTGCCTTTCACCACTTTGAAGAATGTAAACTGTCTCTGGGGTAGACTGTTATGGATACAGGAACGTTTGTGTGTATCTGGGAGTAGGATCATGATCTGGCCCTGAAATAGGTATAAAAAAAGGTTTAACACCACATTGACACAAGGAGCAAATTTGCAGAGGAAGAAGGCGTGCATACGCCCCTATGTTTCTACTGCCTTTTACAGCCCAGATAAGTAGTTTGAAAAGCATTATTATTCACTGCAGTTCCTTTTCATATTCTGCTGGGGGAAAAAAAGAAAGGCAAGCACTGTTTGCTGATGATCTGTGGGAAATAGGAATAATGTTTTAAATCTTTTATGGGCTGTACTTGTCTGAAGCATTTGTCTCTCTGCTGGTGTTACGCAAGTGAACCCTGCAGAGGAGCTGTGGCTCAGAGCACGGTGCCGGTGCCTGGCTTCAGTGCGGGGCTCCCGGCTGCGCCTTGCTGGGCAAAGGGAGCACCCACAGGTTGTGTCTGTATGTACCTTGGAAACAGTCACCAAGGGGTCTGAACGCAGAGCCTCTGCGCTGCCTGTAAATGCAGCCTTGGCTAAAGTTTAGTTTGTGCTTCTGCTCCATCACGGATGGTCAAGTAGCTGTTACAAACTTTTTAGCCATTATCAGCTGTGTAGATAGCAGGGAACATCGCACGTTGCTGTGCTTGGGTATAAACGTTCTATATATGAAATACAAGAGTAGGACTTGATCCTGAAAATCGTTATCCTGTTCAAGAAAGTCTTACTCAACAGTCCTGTTGGTTTCAGCTAGACAGTTTCTATACATGTAGATGACTCTAGTGAGTAAAAATGTGCCATGTCAACTTCTGGTCTGAAAACCCCTTTTGTGCAACATAGGATAAGCAGCTATCTTGCTTCTGAGAGGGAACTGATGTATTAGCCCTGTGAAAGCAAGCGTGCTGCATAGTCTGATCTGTGGAATTTCTCTCACATATAATAATACTAAGGGAGGTTTAAAATCATGCTGTTTCTGTAAGTCTACCAAAGTAAGATTAAAAATACTGTTATGCAAGCACAAACATGCAATTAAATGTTACAATACACTTAAAGGAATGAAAATATCTTCCTAAGAGCATTTTTAATAAGTAACACCGGGATTTTATAAATCTGTAAGAGGCAGAAAGCAAGTGCATTTGCAAAACACTGGTTTATCAAAATAGACATATTTTGTCATCATTGTATAACATTGAGTTCCTTGGCATCTGTCAACTCATAGCTTTCTTATTAGTGCACAGTTTTGTTCCGTAAAAGTAGTTTGTAACTTGTTTCTTTCTGCATTTGCAAATTAGATAAATACTGCTTAGAATCAAAGATAAATTTTCATAGGTGAAAGCACTCTCCTGAATTAAGATACTTTATATCTGCTCTGGCTTGTGATTTTGTGTGTGGGTTTTTTTTTGCTTTTTTCTTTTTTAAAAAGCAATTGGCCAACAGCATTTTCTTGCTGAACCAGTAAATATTTTTTAAATTAAAAAAAGTTGCAAATTCTTATTCTGAAAAAGAACCTGTTTTGAATGATCCTATTAAGTTTTCACCTGGTTTTGTGCCTAGGTTTCTGTCGATGCTGGAAGAAGAAGTGTACAGCCAGAATTCTCCTATTTGGGATCAGGATTTCATGGTGTCTAGTTCCCGAACTGGCCAGCTGGGAATCCAGACAGGTAATTTGCATTTAGTGATGGGTTAGGGAGCACCTGAATATAAAGATAAACCTGTACAAGTGATGAATTCTAAGGAATGAGACTTAGATATGCAGCTTTTTAAATAGGAGCCTATACGGAAATCAGGCTGCCTTGAGTAAGCACAGATGTCTCACTTTCTGGTGCTTCCTCCTATAAAGATCCCATTTTGATGATGAAATTCAGCTAATTGAAGGTGCCAATGGAGCAGGCTGAGGGCTGAGGCAAATTGTCCGAGTGTTCAGGCGGCACAAGTGCACTCAATGTGGGCAAGTGAGAAAGGTCAGGTCCTCGCATGAGGACCCATGCCAGTCCTCCGACTCCCTAGCAGTAGGGAGGTAGGGGCCTTCCACATCAGATGTCCCATTGCCTTTGCATACATGCCTTTGATTTTCTTGAGTTTTTTTATAGCTTTTCGTTGCTTTGTTTCTTATTCATATGCCTCATTGGTTATTCTGCAGCTTTATTTACTGTTCCTCAGTTAGTTACTGGGGTGTAAGTCATCCTTAAAATTGCAAGGAGACACTGATAATGGTTTTCTTTTACTTTCCCCTTCTTCTCTTCCTTCCTGCTCAAAAGTATTTAAAATCCATTTATGCAGCTCAGGGGTTGACTTCAATTTTCAGGTATTTAATTCAATATTTTGTAACAATTCGGTATTTTGAAACAGTTGTTGATTATCAGTTGACAAAACCATCTTGTTAGTACTTTATCTGATATTGAATTTCCTAGAGTAGTAGGGAAATTCCACTGTGACAGATACAGGCTTTTTTTTTTTGTGAGCAATTCCTGGTCTGCACCATGAACTGGTGAATTATGTCTTGGGCACAAGTTCATTGCAACTCTAAAATCATGTTGCTCTCAGAGTTCATTCTATCATGTACATTTCTGCAGTGCTTCATTTTAATGTGCACCTCTTAAGCACTGGATTCTTGGCATGAATATGGCACAAAAGAGCCGTTGCTGGTGATGACACCAGGATAAATGTATGGAAAGAGAAGGACTGCAGGTGTCCAGACTACTGAGCTGTCACCTCAGCAAATGCCAAAAGTCCTGACACAAATGAAAACTGGATGATTTGGGATGAGTGGGGTTCTTAGGGTTGGGTTTTTTTTTTTAATATAAGAAAGAGAGATGATGGTCTGTGGCCTTTTGAAATAATAGTTTCATCCTCTTAACTGGTGTAACAACTTCTCCCTTTATTGAGTTTGATTTGTCCAACCAGTCTTTGAACACTGTTAAAGTGGACAGCTGAAGCTGAATGTTGAGATTTTTCTTTTCAATAGACCCCTACAAAAAGCCTTTTCATGAAGCTAAATGCCAGCAGGCTTGGCAGGTATGTGAAGGAAGTTTGTTTTCTTAGCTTGTGCTCAGCACTGCAGAAAAATAAAGCCTGATATTTGCAATGAAGTAAAGCTAACTCTGTCATTCAGCAGTAATACAGTCCCTCGTTAGGTAAAAGTTTAGAAGGATATGTTAAGATAAAGCTGTAATGTCTCTGCTTGTGAACTGGTGGCATTGCTCTGTTGCACAACATTAGCTGTTACATGGCAGGTGGTGGGTGTGAAGTTGGGTCCCTCGTTGTGGCAGTCCTTCACTTAGCACCCTAATGGGTTCCATGTCCTGATATTTTTTGTGTTTGTCTTTTATGCCATTGCAGTTATCAGTCCTCCTCCTGTGGCAAGAACCGTTTCATACAGTGCAAGTCCTTCGTCTCTGGAGCAACCCAACAGTGGGAATATGAGTCCTGCTTGCAAAGTTTCTTCTGCCCTTGACCCAAACCTAGGTAGCAAAGAGGGAGACTTGCTTTTGGGCTTCTGTCGATGTTATCAGTAGTTGCAGTATATGGTTACCATTGCCTTCACTCTGCTATAGCGACCTTGAGCTGTTTTTGCTAAAAGACATGCACACACATATTTTTCCTCCACTATGGTAATGTTTAACTAGCAGAAATGGCTACTCTATTTGGAAAAAAAAAAAGTTTTGTTTAAATTCAGTTAAAATGGAGAAAGGTCTGCTGGTGTCAGAGGTTGTTGAAAAACACTTTACTTGGAGTACATGTATTATGAGCCATGAAAAAAGGTTTTGTTTAAATAAAGACAGAGTAGAAGGGGCCATTGCTTTTTTTTTTTTTTTAATCTTTCAAGGTACTGAAATTGCATACATTTAAGCAATAAAGAAAAGCACAAACACACCAACCAGGTTAAATTTAAAACCTGAATGAGGTCAGGTTAAAAAAAAAAATGTGGGGGAAAAAGTTGTTGAATGCATAAATTCTCCTAATAAATCCCTTTTCAAACACCTCAGGATTAATGAGTCTGTCAAGAGAGTTTGTAGGTCAGAGAGATGATCACAAGCTCATGTAAAGTCCTCTAGGAAGTAGAAAAAGCTAAATGAATTCTTAGCCTTGGTGTTTGCTACAGAGGAACTTAAGGTGGCTCCTAAACGGCAGCTTTCTGTGAGGTACAAGTTGGGAAATGGTCTTAAAAGTGGGAATGAGTAGAAGACTTTTTTTGTTACAGATCAGCAAAATTAGTAGTAAGTAGTCACTAGAAAAATTATATTTTTTTGAGAGTTTGAAACTAATTATTAAGTTGTGCATCTGAGCTGTCATTGGAATTGCTCTTGGAACTACAGAGTTGAAACACCACAGATGCAAAACTGGTTTTTAAAGGGGTTTGAAGAGAATTCAGGAAACTGTCAATTTTAAGTCTCCTATTTCAGACAATTAGAAGAAAAAATAATAAACTGATTAAAAATGGAATGAATAAATGTGTGAATAATGTGATGTGTGGATATTTAGTGTGCCTTTTGTGGAATTCATGACTTGTACATATCTGTGAAGGAACTGCTGAGCATTTGGGAAGGGTTTTGTGTACCTGGATTTCCAGAAAGCTTTTGACAAATTGCTTCAAAAAATTCTGTTTTAAAACAAGAAAATAAACCCTTGGAAAAGAAGAAGGAAGGTCCATTCACATATGAATAACTGTTTAAAAAGTAAGAAATAAAGAATAGGAATAAAAGTTTCCACAGTGAAGGGAGGTTAACAATAAAATTATGTTTTTAAGAAAACAATTGTACTGCTTGAAAGGCTGAAAAGGGGAACGAACAGTTTGATCCTTATATATTTAGAGCGCTGTAGCTGTGGGAAAACAATCTGTGCCACGTGTAAAATAGTGGGCATAGTGGGTCCTAAACTACCTGTTTGTTTCAGAAAAAAAAGATCTTAAAGCTATTGTGGATTTTCCTTAGGGGGAAAAAACTCAAAAACCAACTCAAACAAAACCAAACTAACTTATGTCACTGCTAAGTGCTGATCACAAAGGCACAATTCTGCATCCTGTCTCTAACCTTTAGCAGATCTTTAGGGAAAAAATACAGAAACAATTTGACCGTGGAGTGATATTCCTGTTTGTATGCTTTCCTAGTATTTAGCAATTTGCTGCTTGGATAAATCCTGAGCTAGAAGCTGGCTCTGTCAGTATTATTGTACCTCTACTAGTCCTTGGTGGACTTTTCTTTCATGAATTTAAATAATTCCTTTTGCTATATTACATGTTGGTCCACAGTGAGTAGGGCAGTTAATAATTAACAAGGTATATTTTGATTTGGAAACTTTATGTGGCTTTTCTGAGTCAAATATGCATGATGTGTCAGACTGTACGTGCCACTTGGTTTACAAAAAAGGGTGAAAGAAATCTATAATGGATACTTAATTCCAGTGAATCCCAAAAGGGGATTTCATGTTATCCAAAAGTATGCACTATAATTTGTGTATTGAGCACTGACCTTCCAAGACAGCAGCACAGAGGTTCACTGCAGAGGATGCTGAAGGAAAAAGAAAAGCAAATAGTTTCACTGTGAATTTACAGAGGTATAGGAGAAGGAGAGGTATATTTGTCCTCCCAGCACAAAGACCAAATTGCAGCAGTAATAAGTATTGTTCGGATTGCACTTCTTTCTCTTTCTCCCTTTCTATAGGGATTAAAAAAAAAAAAAAGTCCCCAAACTTAGCATATAAATTAAAGAATGTAACAGAAGTGCTAGACTTCACGGTGTTAGTCTCTGACAGTTCGGTTGTTCTAATTTGTTCTGGTTTTGTTTTATAGGGGAGAAGAGAAAAAATAATGAACCCTATTCTCTGGAGGATTCAAAAAGACCAAGGGTTGTAGGAGATATTCCTATTGAATTAATCAATGAAGTAATGTCAACAATTACAGATCCTGCAGCAATGCTTGGGCCAGAGGTGAGAAATATATGTAGACCTGGTCTGCTTGCAAATGGTCTGTTTTCAATAAATGTTCCACATGGATAGAGTATGATAAGCTACGAGTCCACAAAACTTACCATGCTGTCAGTAAAAAAACCAGAGACTTTCAAAGAGTATGATTAGGTGAGCAAAAAATATTGATGAAATGCATCATTAACATGAAAAATAGTTCTAATTTTATTTTTTTTTAACACATTGCGTACTGTTTGCAAAGAGACTTGGAAACTAGTGATAGTAAAAATGTAGATCCCAGGTTATTTTGCAAGGTACTTTTGTTACAGAACAGTTCCAGAGTATGCTTTTTATTGTTAATCATAGATGTAGCTCATAAGACAAGGTAAATGGGGTTCAAATATTGCAGCGGAATGAACGATCCAAAGTTAAAACCTCTGTCTAGTGCAGAAGGGCTGATCTAAACAGTTATTTGCTCTGTCTTCCACAGTTGCTCTTTTTTTCTGCTGGAAGAGAAAAACAAACAGAATTGCAGAATTGTGCCATGTACAGAATTGCACACTTTTTTTTTTTTTTTTTTTGGCTGGCTTTTCCTCCTTCTGTTCCCTTCGCCAGGCTATGTTTTGCCAGCAGCTCTTGTTTGCCAAGGTTTAGCTAGAGACTGCTGAAGATTTGGAACCACCTACATTTCTTACTCAAACTATATACTGTGACTGATGTCTCTGCATATTACAAATGCTGTGCCCGTCTGGCTGTTGGGGCTGGCAGTGACTAGAAACCCAGCAGCCAAACTTTGCTCTAAAAAGTAAACAGTACATGCATGCAGAGATGTTTTGGCGTTGTGAAATGATCTTGAAAAAAAAGTGAAATAAATTGTCTGTATTGATTTCATCTCCATTCAAATATATGGATGCCATTGCTAGAGGTGTAACAGCAAAATCAGTAGGAATTAAAATGTTCTTTTTAGGCTGTTATGATAGCGGCGTAGCTGGTGGAAAGCACTACTAAAATGAAAAAATATGACTTTGCTTGCACTGCCATTAAAATATGTGATTTGCAGTATGCGTAGGTGAATCCACTACTTTTGTCCAAGCTGGCTAGACTAAGGAAAATACGAAGATTTAGTGGCATAGGCTTCAGCTAGATGAGTGCTGCCCCCCGAGAGATGTTGGAACTTGTTGAGTCATAACCACCACTGTTGTTACCTAATCTTTAGCAAAAGAAGTTTGAATAAGCCTTTGTACACTGTAGTGTAGACTTATATCCAGCTTATTTGACAGTGTCACTTCTGCTAAAAAAAAAAAAAAGTAATCATCGCTGGCTCTATTTTTGAAAAAAGAGAGGGTTTCACTTGTTTGTTACTTAAGGCTGCTCCATCAGAGGATGTGAAATCTCCAAACTGTGGTTTTGTTCCTTTTTTGTGCGGCACAGACCAACTTCCTCTCGGCGCACTCAGCGCGGGACGAGGCAGCGCGGCTGGAGGAGCGCAGGGGGGTGATCGAATTCCACGTGGTCGGCAACTCCCTGAACCAGAAGCCCAACAAGAAGATCATGATGTGGCTGGTCGGTTTGCAGAACGTGTTCTCCCACCAGCTTCCTCGAATGCCGAAGGAGTACATCACGCGCTTGGTCTTTGACCCGTGAGTGCCGCTGGAGAGGGGTTTGGCGGGTGCGACCGGGTGAGCCCGGTGCTGGGTGCTGGTGGTGGTGTAAGAAGAGGCCAGCCCAGGTGGCCTGGAGGGCAGCTCTGCCCGTGCTACCCTTTTCCCATCTTTTCAAGCCCCCCCGCCCAGCCGTAAATCCTGGCCAGCCTAAGTGGATTGTACCTAAATACCATCTCAGTGGCTGCGTTAATGACCAGCGGCTTCTTGTTGTGGGACGTGGGCCTGCAGGGAAGGCTCCTACCTATCTTGTACTTTCGAATGTTAGAACTGAAAGTCAGAAAGTAATTGTGGTGCTTATTAGTGGTTTCCAGGCCCATACCAACCTGCAGGCTGCTCCATCCTCCGTCTGTGGAGATCATGAACCAAATAGCAGCAGAGACTCAAGTTTTTCAATGAGAACTTGTGGGATTTATGAAGAAAGCAGCATTTAAGTCAGTGTGGGAGAAATCACTACCCACCCAAGCACATTGCTTTTCTCTATCAGTGCAAGTTTCCTTCTTTCATCAGTGCAAGTCTTGCTTTGGGTGCAAAGCAGCCATCACAGGCACTTGAAAAGAGCGTAGCAGCGTGCGCAGGCTGCACATGGTGCTCCACTAACCTAGTGTCCTGGCTGAATTGAGCCTCAGCTGCTCAAGCACAAAGGGAGGTTCTCCTCAGAAGTGTCGGCTTTTCCACCATTGTGTTCCCGGCAGAGCCTGCTTCCTCTCGACCAGTATGTTCTCCCAAAGCTGGTGCCTCTGAATGATCCATGCCCAAGAATAGCCTAGGGGTCCCCTGTATTAACCGCAGCACTTCACAGTGGAGGGCGCCTATGGGCTCATTGCTGTTCGTCAGCAGAGACCTCAAGGAGCTTTGACTGAGCTGACTGCAGCCAACTGCCCAGCGTGGTTCATGGAAGAGCCTTCCTCCACCACTGGTGATATCAGCCTCTGTCTTTGTGCCCAGTATTGTAGCTGCAGCAGTTACAAAAACAATTCTGGAACCATTTCCTCTGCTTTTAGGCTCACTAGCCTTCCCCTCGGCAATACTCTCGGTGCCAGCAACCACAGCTGCTGTTGGGCCTGTGTGGTTCCTGAAGCACAAACAGCCCGCTGCTGGGGACTGTTGGACGGGACTTAGGTGTCCAGGCACAGGAGACTGATGTTGGGGCCTTCTCCTGCGTTCTTCAGAGGTGAACAGCACTGTTGTCTTGAGGGCCAGCACCAGTCCAGACTCTTTCACCTCTCCTATGTTGGTGTAAGCGCTGCTTGGTTGGGAGAGAGAAGCAGCACCGGGATCTTGTCTGAATTTAGCAGCACTGTGATCTCAAGCAGAGGCTACTGGTTAAGAAGCCAGGTTCCCTCATAATCAAACATCAAAGCAAAATTTTGAAGTAGTGATGTTGAGCCATGGCCTTCTCCCATATTTCTCAAGGTCCTCCCTTATTGGGAAAGACTCTTCTAGTAGGCTGAGAGGAACTGCTGGTAGTTTAAGTGCTCTTCAGTATAGATATCTTGTCTGGAGAGTGGTCTGTGCTTGAGAAAGAGGTATGGATATTGCTACAGCAAGAAAATGCTCTCCTTTACGTGCCTGTGGCAAACAGTTGATCCAAAGGAAGTGGAACACATCGCCTGGACAGCTCAGAGAACCCCAGCATCTGCCATGAATCTCCGGGACACAGTGGGGACCTCGGCTGAGTAGTGGGTACACACAAACCTACATCAAGTAGGAGATGCTGGAGCCCAGTTCTCTTCCCAAATTTCTTGCAGCTATTCCCTTACTTATTATCGTCTTTGGTGTTCTTATTTCTGAAATGGCCATCCTTACTGAATCTTGTTGCTTAAACAACTCAAACATGAAGAAACAAAATTAAAAGCTCAAGCTACTACATTGCTGCTGTCATTCCACAAATAAAAAGCACCAAAATAAGTAAAAGAAAAATAAGAATATATAAAATGTATAAAATCTCCTTCAATAGTAGCACATAAAATATAACTACTCTGCAGACTACCTTTTTTTGGAAGGGGCTCACTTTCAGCACCAACTCCTCCCCCCCCCCCCCCCCCCCCCGCCACATCCCCTC